ATTTAATTGATACTGTCGCTTTAAACTCAGAGCAACACTTCTCGTCAGGACTCAGGTTGCGCGCCAATCTATCCATACTTCTAGTGACATTTACAGCTGTCAGCTAGGGACGTGACGTTTATGCCGATAATCTAGAGTTGCCCAACTCTACAGCACGGTAATTTTGTTCCTTACATTACATATATGTTTAAATTTTTATATATAATAAATTAATTGTATATTTTTTAATAATACATGTATTGCCAATACTGCACTCTGCACCGTTAGTCTCCATAGCCCATATACGATATACACAGGTTGCTTGAAATGTGATATTTTTTTAATGTATATTGCACCCACGTCGCGCGGGGGGTATGGGCAGCAATGACAAGTCGCACCAAAGCACACAATATCCGGTTTGTCAAAACATCCGCATTTTAGAATGAATCCGGATTATCCTTTGATCCGTCACGTGAATTTTAAATACAATAAACAACTACGTTTTCCTGTAGAAAATGTTACAGGATTTTTAGGCGTTTTAAACTGGAAATTGCAGTTGTAAATTGTAACACAACCGTTTTGTAAATCATTTATGTTATAACCTATAAAGTTGGGATGCCGCCAATTTTGACATTCGGCGAATTTTTTCCCTTACGTTCAGAAATTAAACACCAATTACGTTTTGAAATCTAACTTTCATATGAGAATTCAATTAAAATACACTTGAATTTTGTTTTTATGAATGTAATGATTCATTCCCATTGTATATACCACGATTTTCGCTAATTTGATAATTTGAAAAAAAAATGTAAATTTTTTGGCTGTTAGTTTACTTTTCTTTGTCAATAAAATTGTATTATCTGTAAAATGAATCCTTGGAATTATTTTGTATAGTTTGTTAAGTATGAATGTTGTAAAAAGATTTTTTTGGTTTATAAGTTTTTGTAAAAATATCGTAAGATGTCTAAAGATATTGCGAATCGAAAAGCCGTATTATGTTGTTTTGAATTACGCACTTGTATTTAATAACAATTATATTATAATATTGTGTATTTTAAATTTAAAAAAGTTTTTTTTTTGTAATTGAAAAAAATTTTCATTTACGAGTTTTGAACCCGTTTTAAATTTGAAATGGAAGTAAATATATTGTAAAGGCTATTCGATTTCACATTACATCCAAGGATTGGAAATTTCAAAATAAATATTTTGGAATCTTAAGTTGTTTTTTTTATTATCCTTATGTTAGTTAGGATAGATTTATTTACTCGCAGATATACAGATTCCTTGGTTGAAAATATGACGATTTGACCTAACTTACCTCTATACAAAGTTCTTTAGGACGCTAGAGGGCACTAAAGTTTGTTAAATATTTTACATTATGTCAAATACCTCAAAAATCGGAACCATGGTTTTTATTTTATTTTTTATACCAATATAAAGAGGAAAGGTTTGTATTTTTGTATGTATTGAAATAACCCGAAAACTAGTGGACAATTATAAAAAATCACCAATATAGAGCTACGTTATCATAACATAGACTATATTTTTGACCGACTTCCCAAAAGAAGGAGGTACTCGATTCGTCTGTATGTTTTTTTTTATGTGTGTTACGGCATAACTCCGCCGCTAGTGGACCGATTTTGATAATTCATTTTTTATCCGAATGGAAATGCTTGCAGGTGGGTCCCATTTTTTTGTGTGATTTTTGGAGTCAAAGACTACGACGTAGTTAAATAGTTTAGCTCAAAATCGCGCGACGAAATTTCGGGTCATTTTTGCTTTCTTTGCTGACGTAGCCTAAACTATAAGACCTCTATAAAAATGATGTATGGAAGAATTGTAGCCCTTTAAATTTGCTAAATAAAAGTCTATCTATTAAGGTTGTCGCACAATAACCACTTTTATCATAAAAATATCGCTCGAAATCTATACCCCACTTTAAACGCTATTACTCGTG